ATACGTTCTTCGAACTCCCTAACAGGGTTTGGTATTTGTGAATTGAGAGGTTAGAGTGGAACTTGTAACACAGTTAAGTGAAGGAGATGAATACTTCTGATTGGGATAGTCAGTGTCTCATTTTTAGTCAGAAAGGACTTTTGCAACATTGATTGAATTTTATTTTCTGAGAAAACTTTATTACCTGACAAAAAAGTACTCTGAAGATGGTTTTTTTGGGGGGAAAAAGAGTAAGGAAGTGAAACATTTGATCTGTTTCCTTGAAACAAGTTAGAGAAACACTTTTTTTATAGTAAATATTTTTCAATAAAAATTTATAATATATTTCTTGCGTTTATTATGCTAAATTGTGTTAAATGGAGCCCATACGTACATATATTGTTGCAGTATGCTATAAATCTCTTTACTACCGGAATGAACTTGTCTCAGACTTGAGGAAGAGGCAATTCTTTTGAAAATTCAACGAACTGCACGTCAGTCTGTCGACGGCGGTAGTAAAATTACCCCATAGATCAGACGAAGAGGGTTCACTGGGTGATCCATCAATGGTATTGTACCGCACGACCGTCTGGCGGACGTTTGAAAAACTCCGTTCAAGGAGTTTCCCCCACCAAAATTATACGGCGCTACACATTTATCTTGCTTCCGAGCCTTGATAAACAGGAATACACTTGCTTGTTCAGCTTTCCAACGCTTTCGGCAGACGTATGCTTTCCTGGAGAGCAACAGTTCCTTCCTGTGGTCTTTTAACTCTTGTTACACTTTATTACCTTGGGCAGTCAGTTTCTTCCAAACTCTTCTAAATTTTGGCGTGACAAAAAAATTTACTTTTTATTTACTTTGCAGATATTTAAACTTTAAATTGAAATGAAAAAAATGTTGCAACCTCTTTATAATTTACAATTTATATTGCATGGAGATTGATATTCTCCTTTGTTCTATATTTGAATTACAATAATTCTTGCTGAAATTTATTTCTGAATACACTGCAGCTCACTGACCCAGAAAATCTGTTTCTTATCGCAACAAGACGCCATAGATTCAAGGGGGATGCTGAGTTTATCTTCCTTCCAAGCGATAGGACCTTCAACAGGAAACTATACAATTATTTTTCTCTCTCTATTTTGAGGAAATTACCCCTTTTAAAGTCTCCAATCACCGATGGTATAAGTTCTCAGCTTTTATAGAAGTAACTATGGTTTTGTTTTAATAGAGTTCCCTTGCCAGACATTCTCTTCCGCAGTTCCATTTAGGTTATTATATACCTCTTGACAATTTCAACCGCACCGGGGACGGCCATCTTGCTCGTCCTTTTTGCAACAGACTGGGCCCGTAACAAGCATTCGTTTCGTGGTTTTAACAATTTCATATTTTCTCGTCCATTCAGGATGTGCAAATATTTTTGAACATTTTCCTCCCAGACAAAAGCTCTCGTCTTTCGACCATCATCTCGCGTACCAATTACGTTTTATGCTTTTATTACAGGCTCGAAAAGTCCACAGGGGAGTTGAAGGGTCTGCTCGTGAATCATTTAATTCGTTATCGTTAGTACGAACTTCAGAAGCGTATGGACAATGTCTGCTCTTTGCATCTTCGTCGTAAAATAAGATTTAACGATAAGAGAGAATTTAGGTAAACTGGACGAACAAACGATTGTTATAAAATAACGTTTCAAGATAAGATCCAAGAGAAACTGGATAATTTGTCAAATAAATTTTCCTTGTATCTTTACTGTGAAATCGAAATTTAATCTTTTTATTTTTTACTGTTAAAAGAAGAATCAAAGAACAGCTAAAGTGATCCTTATCCATGGAATTTCATTATCTTTGGTATATTGGTTCAGTATGCTATACATCGTTCCATTCTTCTTGGAACAAATAAAACTTGGAAGGAAAAATTCTTTGAAAAGCGTCATGTAGGAGAGTTTAATTAAAAACAAGCAACCGAGCCTTATAGAAGTCAGTTATAACGGGGATATGTTGCAACAGCGCACAAAAGAGAGAAGAGGTATTGAAGGATTTCTTGAAGACGTTCTTTGTAAGTCAATGGATATGCTGGGAGGCTTTCTTCTTTACAAACATCTTCCGTTATTTGATCGTGAGAGAATAAAGTGTAATAATTTTTCATTTTTTTCCTTCAGTCAAACTTTTCCTACTTAAAAAAAAAAAAAATAGATAATTAAAGAGTATCATACATTTTGACAATATTTTATCTAGAATTAGCACGCGGTGATTATAACAACAGCCTCAGAGCTTTCGTTAAATTTTCATCATCCTTTCATTTAAGATATTCCAGAAATTCCTCTGAGAAGGAACGAGAGGCAAAAATTCTCCTACGGATCCTTTCTTCTAATCCCTTAATCTATGGACGCCGGATTATGTATTTTGTCCCCATCAATAACACCGTCGAAAATCCGAGATCACGATTTCAGAGGGCGCCCCCGCTCGGTAAACAGCGACATAACATATATCGCGAAAGCGTAGCGCTTGAATTTTCTGGCACATTAATACCATCGACAAGCCTCTTCCTTCGGGAGCTCGAGATTCGCTGAAATACTTTCGAGCCTCTCAAGCTCTCCCAGTTCCTCGGAAACTTTTCTTCTCCATCGTTTGTTCGATCAATTTAAGCCTGGATTTCTGTGAAGTTGATTTGAGGTTAGGTTTGAGTACTCCAAGTATTATTTATAGACTCCCAAGAAAATTTTTCTTTAAATTGTTTCTTTACTTTATTATTTACACACGTCTGCTCTACTTTATCTTAATTAAAGATGGTAGTATTTCTTTAATACCAGTGTTTTCAATGATTAGAGATCTCGAGTAACCGATAAAAATACCTTCCAATCCATTAACAAATATTCAAGCAATCCGTACTATTCCCCTAGTTGATTTCCATCCATTGAAAAAGTACAATGTAGATGGTGCATTTGAACGATAAAACAGAAGTTGGATTTTATATAGAAAAAAATTTATGGATCTCCCTGTACAAAATCACACTTCTTCACCAAAAGTCGTTAAACTAAATCCAATTTAATTTTCATTCGATCATCAATCGTGGCACACTTGGCTGGAACCATTGCTATCAGAGTTCCCTCTCTCTTTCTCTTTCACCACCAAGTCTAATGCTTTTTCCGCTTCTTTTTACCGGCATTTTCTTCCTCAGAAAGCGATCATTCGGTGTGGAGGCGGTCTCTCGAGCAACCATAAATTCAGCGAGCCAGCAGGCCTCGTCTTTGAGCAGGCGAACCGCGTCACCGTGATCCACGGGTGGAAAAAGTATAAGCGACGCGTAAAGCTCCCCCCAGAAGTAGTTCACGGGCGATATTCCCTTTACTGTGTGCGCGATACACGTTGCCTCTTCGTTCAGGCTGAACGGAACACACCACGTGGACTTTACGACTCGTTGAAATCGAGTCTTCCTTCCTTCCTCCTTTTGTTATTGCCTTCGAAAAGGATCGTCGATGATCGACCTGTTGGTAGTTTATTTCGAGCCTAGAAGGAATTTTTTGGGTAGATTTTAAATTATACTTTGAGAGAATTTAGGGTTGGGAATGGTACGAGTAGAATTGGTACTTTAAAACAGGGAATTTTTCAAGATAGGGTTATTGCTCCATCGGTAAAGTAGATCGTGCACGATGTGGCGATCAATTTTCCTTTCTTTGATCGATGTAGATTTCTTTTTTTGGGTATAAGTACTGTTGTAATAGTCACTGGTGATGTTTCTCGTTAGACCGATATTGTCCCTCGTCGATACATTTATTTACACAGAGTGGCCACACACCAATGATTCTATTCAATGTCCCAGAAGTGATGGCTGCATCGGAAACAAGCTTATTCATGGGAATACTAATGTAATTCCAGAAAAGCATCCGCAGTTTTATTAGGATCATTCTTCTTCTAGCTTTCCATCGCGTGCTTGGAAATCAGCCTTTAATAATGATGAACGTTCCACAAAGGCTAGGAAGGACGACATGTAATTTCGTTTAAAAGTATTCTATCATCAATCTTCGAACTACATATTCAATGACTTCCTACCAAAAAAACAAAAAAAAAAAAACAAAAAAAAAACAGTATGAATAAATTTGTAAATCAAACCCGTATGAAACAGGCGATACAAAATTACTAAGTGATTCCAACATAAAATTACCAGAGAAGTAGCAGTGGTGCCAATAAATGAAAAAGTAGAATCGTAATTGTGGATGGAAACGAGACGAATAATAAATGAATTCTGCAATAAAGTATGCAAAACGGTAATCGTAAAACAAACTGGAAACGTATTACTTGGTTTTTACAGCTTTTCTTTTAATTTTCATCTGGTCGCAAAGACAGTTATTCCGTCCGGGTTACACCCACATTTATAATCCTCAGCTGTTTCCCTTCCCCTGTGAACGAAGTCAGAAATTTCTTGAAAATATCTCACGGGCCATTAAGGCTTTGCAGGTCACCACCGTGATTCTCTTATCATCGCCACTCCGTATGGATTTTTACGGCCGGATATCCTCGCAAAATGCCACCGAGGAAAGCTGTTCCTCGCTCGTGCAACGATACGCGGTAACACATGGTCCAAGATTGCTATCGTCTCTCGCAAAACGCCCTCACACAGTGTGTGTATATATTACAATTGCGAGAAACAGCTGCTTTTAAGCTTCCATTCATCCTCAATTCTTATTCAACGCGTCCCCTCTGTCCCTATTGCGTTGTACATCGTCTCCGAAACATTGTTAATTCCCGTTAACAATGGTAAACCAAATCCGTTTTTCTCTTTAGTATATTTAAAAACTGCAATTTGTTGCACCGACAATGATAAATTTCACTCCATTTGTTTTCTAATTCATTTAGTACGAACCATTAATTAAATAACGTGAAGTTATTTGCTGTATAATTTTTTAAGTGCATCAAGATTGGTACCAGCAGTGTAACGTATAATTAACTTTTATCGACATCAATAATACTGCAATTTGCTATAACGCTTAAGCGGTACATTTGTGTCTATTAAACTTCACACTTCGACAGTTTACTTGTTCACTTCTTGTATCATGTTGGTACTTGAACGAGCACTTCTATTCCGACGAAAAATTGTCAAGCCTGACCGCACCACATAATTAAGCGGTTCCAGTCGTAAAGGCACGGTTCATGGTAATAGCGCAAGTAGCGCCGCCTCTGAGGAAAAAAAAGAAACGAAAGCAGGAAATATGTCGGACAACGCAACGCAGCCGTGTTCACCGGGGCACAAACGTTATTGCCTGTGTAACTGGTGCACGACGTAAAACTGCGTGAATCACTGCAGTTTGCAGCTTCGCGCCGCGATGTTACACCACTTCAACGTGTTGTTTATGCCCCGTGGCAATTAAGTTGAAAATCGTCTTGCGTTTCGAAATTGTATACACCTCTCCGTGGGTCGCGAATATACCGTGAAACAACGTGGAGATCACGACAACAAAAATCTGGCACATTGTTGCGGATTCGACTTTACACGCCGGACGAGAGAATTATTACGATTGAGAAAGAAAAGTTGAAAACACCGCGGTCACAAATAAACCGGTTAACGAAAATTTATGTCGGAAAACGAGCGATAAATAACGAAAAAAACGAGGCTACGTTTAATTGCTGTTTCGCGAAGTTTGCCGACTGCTTTATAAACTGCGATGAACTCGCAGGAAAAAAGGAGGAGATAGAGAGAGAAAAAAAGATGAGCAGAACGTTTCTATTTTTCTCCGTTCAAGAGAGCTACATTCCTGGATATTTCTGTTGCGCAGAAATGACGCAAGGAGCGCGACTGTAAAAAAAAAGGCGGGAAACAAAGAGATAGCAAGAAGTGGGCGAAGGAGTGGGGGGAAAAGGAGGGAAAAAGCGAACGAAAAAAGCGCGGGGCATGCGTCAGCTGCAAAGAAAGCGGGAAACGAAAAAGTGGCGGTCCAATGAATCAACGGGGTCGATCTTTCTTTTCATTCTCTCACCTTGTGCATAGCGCTGCCAACACCCATGCCACCAGGCAAAGAAACGTCGCCCTCGCCTTCGTGCACATGTACCTGTGGAAAAATAGAAATCGATCGATCGATAATATCGACCAACAGTTCTCGTACGAATTTCCAAAGAATCGTGACTGACATCTGGGATTGACGTCGCGAAACACGGGTCTAATGTGAATCGCTATCGCGCACAGAACGAAACGAACAGAAAGTCGAAAAAATGAGTCGTAGTCGTGACTAACATGGCGGATCGACAATGTGTCAGACACGCGTACCGCATTGATTACCAGTAAAACGGACGAACAACTGTGATGGACGTTTCACGAGGGTGTCTTTTTTAGCAAGTTGTCAATGCTTTGATGCACCGATGCACTTTTGGGAAAATTGAATGTCCGACTTTCTTTCTACTGAATCGTCGCGCATAGGTTACACGTAATAGTGAATATTGTCGTGTGGTGTAAAATAAATGGTAGTGTGGAGTAGTGATATACGACAAAGGGTAATGACAAATTTAAAGAGAGTACTGCTCTATGAAATACTATGAACGTATTGTAACTATCGAACTAACGGTGAAATAACGTTTTCGAAATGTGTTATTACGTTTATCTGTTATGATGGCATTACGTTGTTACTGTTACGCGAAGTTACATATACACACACACAGATGCACGGACAAATGAATTTAACTGTTTATTTTCCCTTCTCGTTCCGAGCACACCTGCTCTTCACAGCACATCACGTATAATTTCGTACTCGGTATAAAATACACACTACGATCTGTACCTAACCTAAATCTATTGGTCCACGATATCGGAATTGCAAATTCGCATCGACAGATTTTCTAAATTGATATTTCTCTCGTTGCATGGGGAAACGGTAATATCTTCGTTACGATCCTATCAGCGCCGGCGCTGTTCGTTCGGGTTTTAGGTTCTTGTTTTGTTTAGATGCGACGATCGCGCGCCTCGTGACCGGTTTCGTAACTATTTCAAAACCGATTGCTTCTATACACGGGTAACAAAGTAGCATTTACTCACAGAGTATTCTATATTTTTTTTTCTCTTCACTTACCCAACTCGTAGGGGCTCGCAGATTGCGTAATACCGTTCGAAACTGATCGCTAGTATCGTAAGGACCGATGCGTGCGCCACTGTCAACTCGACGAATGGAATTGTTTTACCTGAAATAGAAAAAGGTTATGTTTTATGAAAAAATTATTGAAGTTGCTTAAATCTGTTTAAAAATACATTGTACGAGTATTTAAATTACTTAGAAGAGGTGCAAGAGGGAACTGTAATGTAGAAATTCAACGTTATTGAAAGGGATAGGTTATTACGCAGTCTGACTAGTGACTGAGGTATTCTACTGCGCAGTGTTGCTTTCACGATATACAGGATTCTACACGAACACGTTAATTAATGCAAATTCATGTATTCGCTTAGGATAACAGATTTTCCATACTGTATTGCGTATATTCATTTATAATTTCAGAAATTTAATTCGACTGCCGTAGAGCTTAATTGTCTCGTATTTATCGTTGATATTTGCCAATCGAAGAATAAACGATTATCAGATATTCGTGCTTGAATAAATTCAAGCGTTTTAATATTCTGATTTAAATGTTTCAAATTAAACCAGTTATTGGGCACGTAAATCCATTCCACTCTTGCTTCGAGGCGTAGAAATACGAAGGTAAGGAACGGTCTAACAACCTAACCTCAATTTTAACCAAATTTTTTTTTCAGTTGATTCGTTTTGTACAATTCATTAAATTTATTTAACGTACATATTAAACGATATAATGGTGCAGAATGAATTTTCTCGTTCAACAGACAAGGAAGAGATTTACAATTCCCCCAAGAAAAACTTGTCTGACAATCAAGGTGTCGCAATAAACTGCCACGACGTCCAGGACATTATTTCCCGGTGTACCTTACTTCCATTTATCCGATGTCCACCAGGATCGACCGTGTAATTCCTTCGTCCCGAAAGCCACGCAGTTTTTCCGGAAAACGTTTGCAGAACGAAACGTCATGTTTACAGAGATCTCTATTGAATTCTTAATCTTTTCAATTTTCTTCAATTAGTGTCATTTGAAACATTGTAATGTCGTATATTACCGAAGAAAGAAAGGGAAGGGGAGAGAGAAATTTATTTTTATACAAAATATTTCTCATTGTAGAGATTGTTAAAAATGGACACAATGTTTTCAGGATTGGATCTAAGTTTAGAGGAGGGATTTAAAAGAAAGCGTCCGATAATAGCGCCGTTAAAGATTCCGGAAGCTCGCTGAGCACATAAGCCATGGAGAATTATGAGCCATCGTGTAACACTGATCCACTCTAGATTTCAAACATTTGCTTCCGTCGACGTCGTGGTCATAAACACAATCGCCGCTATTATTTTGATTCCACAGCGACCAGTGTTTTTCTAAGCTTGGAAACAACATCCCTTAATCACTTTGTGATTTGTCGAGGCATGTTCATGTAAACTGAAATCTGCATATAATGTATGTTGGTATACTTTGGTCACGTACTTTTGCATCACCCTGTACAAGAATTATTTCTTTTCTCATCTCTCTGAGAAATTGAGAAATATTCCTGGATATACGAATGGTTCTAAACTAACCAAAAAAAAAAAAAAAATTATGAGGGAGTTCTTTACTTTTGAATCACCTTTTACAATCTTAAAAATCATATATTGCTCGAGAAGAATTGCATTTAAAATGATCTATTCTTCCTAAACTATTATTCTTATCAGATTTCTGTATGTTGGTTAAATCCATAAACTTAAATCATCGAGTTTTACAAGTTAATTAAGTTAATTGTATAGAAGAGTATAATATAAGAGTATATAATTGTACAGAATACTATAATATATATGCAATGTAATATATTGCATATAACCTACAATACACATAACAGTAATATCTCTCACACTGTCGCTATTCAAACTCCTGTCGCCTGCATAGCTGCTCCTGCGCTAGGCCTAGGCATACTTTACTGCTACGCCTATGTTATCTTTCTGGGAGTCAGTCAAGCATGCGAAGAGTGTAATGCGACGCGCGAAAACCGTGTCTCCTCTACCCAAACTGACGCCTTTTGGTTTCCGACCAGGGCGACAGTTGTGAGAGATATTACTGTATACCCAGAGATTTTGGCTTTCAATGGAATTGGCCTACGCTCTGAGGTATTTTATCCCGCGTGTGTCGTTCGAACGCGGCTCGAAGCAATAACAATAACGCGTCCAGCATTTTTTTTTATTCCCTCGCGCAACAGGAAGCGTCGCTTCAGGCGCGGACGACTTCCGCTCGAGCGAAGCCACAGAGACCAGCGCGGCGGCTTCTGATGCGTGGAAATTTACCAACGCTTCGCATGGGAAAGTGGGCGAGACTAAAAGCTGCTCCACGTTTTAAAACTGCATTCCACTTTGCGCTCTTTTTTTCACCGCCACAACCGTCCTTTTAATTCCCGCTGGTGTTCTTTCTTTCTTTCTTAATTAGTTTACTAGCTGCGAGTGGAGCTTTGAAAATTAAGAACGTGCCCGCAATTTTTGGGCAGAAAAATACAGATTTTCGTTTAAAGAAAACCGCAGCAATATGTATTTATTTATTTATCAACCTTTTTACTATGTTTACAGAAACGAAAGGGGACGAAAAAACGAAAGTAAAATGATAGAAATTCGCCTTATGGAATTAAATATGATCGACACAATTAAGGTGATTTCCAGCTCAAATTTCGATTTTGAATAAATATTAAATTCTTTAACTTCGAAAAATTCTAACCTCAAAAGCACTTTCTCTAATTATAACTTCGAAAAATTCTAATCTCGTAAAATTCTAACCTCAAAATAATTTTAACCTCAAAAACACTCTTCAAAGAACGATTTCAAGGTTTATACAGAATATCAATTCAACCTCGAACAGATTGGTTCTCGTGATGGAAATAAAAATTGCACTGAAAATACAATATTTTTTTCATCAAATTCAAACGACAACCGAATCAATGGAGAATATATAATAAGAACACAGACGGTTTTGAATTGCAGGACAAAACGAACAAGGGTTGGACCAACCTTCGGCTCTGTTTCTATGATCTCCTCCTCGTTGGAATAACCGTGAACGAACAAATCACGCTGTACACTCACGGAGATTTTTGTGTCGACGGTCAGCGACGCGGAAGATTGTTTCCACGATCGATTATCTCCGGCGGCAGCTTCCACGATTCCGAATATGTATTATCCCGAGCTTTGTCAATGAAACATGGGGGATTTTCCATGAAGACCCCGTGAACCGGAAATTGTACCTGACAATTCAACCCCTATATCGTGTTGCCATATATAACACCGTGAAAACGTCCTGAGATATTGGACGATAAAAGAATTCTTCCGGATGGACAATATGAAATTCTAGAAAAACGCAAACGGTTCACACGCGAGATATTGCGAACAGGATTGTCCACAGTTAATCTTCCATCGAGAGTTCTATGTGTCCCTTAAAACTGTTTCTTTTTTGTCTCGCGTGAATCGTTTTCGATTGTCAGAAAGAAGGAAGGAAGAGAATTTCTCCATTCGGAGAACTGCAAGTAATTAGAGTTTTTCATTTGGAATACATACTTCTTCGACGCCCAGTAGATTCTTCAAAGACCAAAGGAGCCGCCAAAGAGTTCTCCACTTTAAGCTCCAACTTCTTACTAATTGCGACCAATTTAAATTTTAATCGTTTCACGCTTCTCGAGCTTCCTCCACAAGGCGACTTAATATTTTCACACGCTTGAACGATCACAGAATTTTTGCCCAGAGAACGTCGACGTAAATCTCGTTTATTCGATGCCAATGACCTCGAATATTATTTTTACATATTTTCACTGCTTGTAAAAAAATGTTCTACATTGTTTTACGGATATTTGTATTTATGCAATTACGGCGAAGAACTGGAGAGTCTTTAAAGGTAAAATACATTTATCATTAATTTTATTTTTCTAGAAAAGATGCTTCTTTCTTTTGAAGCAACCTATAGAAGAATCTTAACCCCTTAACGTATGATTTCTTTTCTGACTCTGCATCTAAGCGTCGGCCATTTACTGTTCTACCACTGTATCGTGTAACAAAAGCTTATCTGTTACAGATTAATTACATTCAGTAATCCTCAGTGTTACGAATTAAAACGAAAGTTAGGATTGCAACGAATTATTCTTACCAATATAACTATTTTTCTCACATTTTCGCCAGAATCTCTGCCACGAGTGTGACAGGTTGCCATACATTAAGGGGTTATAAGCGAAGCAGGTTTCTCTGTAATTCTTCCAAGATCGTATCGACGATGGAAAATGTGAATCTACGAGAATTTGCAACGGTAGATCCTCTTCCTTATACGCAGCTTCGAAAATCGAGGCCCTTATCGTGCCTCGTTAACGAAGAACGTTTTGCTGTTTCGACCCTGAAACTTGCCAGTTGTTCCGATAAGAACGCGTGGCTTAAGACGGCTCGTCGTATTTTTGATTATCGTCCTGACCATCGAGACAAGTTATTTCGCAGCGGAGATTGTTCGTCGGAAAATTCTCCCCCGATTTATGGCTACTCTCTGTCAGGAACACGTGACAATAAAACCAGAGTGATTTGTGGGGAAGCAGTAATGAATTAGAATTTTTATTATTACACCACGATATCGATACTTTGGAATTCACTTGGATAGACGTTGTAAAAGTGTACATTCTACCAGTGACAGAGAAAAAGATCGTTTTAGTTGATCCTAAATCTACTTTAATCGATGTTTCATTACTGTGCTACGATATATTGGTATTTCATTTTGCATCCAAGTGTGTTGTTTTTTTTACAATTTTTCACAACAATTCCTGCAGATTTGCGTAGAATAAATTCTTCTAAATTCGTCTAGTTTTATTAATCCTCGAAGCATATCCACACGTGAAAACAAAAGTCTCGTAAATAACTAGTCCTTTTTCCAATATTTCTCCAATTCCAAACCAACAAATTTTTCCCACCATTTTTACTTTCGTCGATCCTCGGTCATGACTGTTGGCAGTCATTTTGCGTACACGGAGAAATAACGAGAAAGCGACGTGTGAATTAAGAATAAAGGGAGGAAAGAATATTTTAAGAAACGGAAGATTTATAGAATAATTCCGTTCCAGGGTCACCGAGACCCCAAAGGTTCGATTTCAG